TACCAGACACTTTCTGAAAATACCAAATTTGTGAAATCTGGTATAAAAATATACCATGTGACAACGCTGCTGGTGGACCATGAAGGAACCACCTGATGGAAGCCCACAGCGAGACCATCACTCGTACGGTGCTGGAAGAATGCACCAGCGTCGTCATGCGATGCCCCGATGCCAACCGACTCGCGATAGCTGAGGCCCTGATCATTAATAATGAGACTCCGGCCATTCTTCTTCAAACTGCTGGATTAGTTAGAACCTTAAGAATGTTTTCGGAGTAATTTTTGTTGCTTTAACTCTTGATTATCTTCATATTTTCCATTATTTCTAACCAAATTGATTTCTGAGTTTGATCCCATTTACATAATTTTGTACGGAAATCGATCCAAATTTCATCGCTCAATGCGTCTTGTATCTTGATAATGAATGATTGATGAATTCAGAACGTTGGTAACGAAATAAAAATGTCCAACGGCCCTCTGATTTTCGATTTACCAAACGAAATATGCATTGAAAAAAGTAATAATAAAATTGTCTATAAAATTAATTCTCTGGTATTCAATGAAACTTGCTTCATGGAACAAATTCTACCAATCTATTCCAATATACTTTTATATTAATATAGATTAGCATTAGATGACAGAATTTTCTTGTTGAAGCACTTATACGATTACTGATCAGAGAATGCACTATATTCCAATTTTCAGCGAGGTAAAACTTCTTCAGATGACGTTAATAGATCAAAAGGCTGGTCTCAGCAAGTAGGTATATTATATAAAACGAGGTTTTGAATGTATCATCATTCGTTCTCAAGTTACAAGAAGCATTGAACAATGAAATTTTAGTGGACATAAATACATAATCAGAGGTGGGCAGTAGCGCGCTACATGTAGCGGCCGCTACATTTTCAGTAGCGGTAGCGGCGCCACATTTAAGTAATTGTAGCGGTAGCGCCCGCTACATATTGAAGTAGCGATACGAGATTTTGCCGCTACAGCGCTACCGCTACATTTATTGATAAAGCCTTTAGATTTTACTTAATAGTTTTAAATATTATTTAAAAACCAGCATGATACATAAATAATATAAATTACAGAATAAAACTACGAAAGATTTTGGTGTAATGTTGTCAACCTCAGCCTGTTACTAGTGTCAACACGTTAGTTGTTAGTACCTAACCTAACCTAACCAGAGGTGGGCAGTAGCGATAGCGGCGCTACATTTAAGCAATTGTAGCGGTAGCGCCCGCTATATTTAGAGCAAGTAGCGGTAGCGGCCGCTACATTTCAAAGTAGCGCTGCCCAGCTCTGTACATAATTCGCATAAATAGGATACAACACGAAAATTTTGAAACAGAAAATGACTCTAAAAATTATCCCGAACGTCAGGCAATTCTGGTAGTTTGAAAACTGATGCTGGAGTCTAATCCCCATAGATGATTTCCCAGCATATACAATCGTTGGTCGGTTAATATTGGGCGCCACTGCATAATGACGATGCTGGTGGGTTCCTCCAGCACAGTGCGAGCTAAGGTCTTGTGAGCTTGTCTCAGAGTGTGCCCCTGGCTTCCCGACTGCAGGCAGTAATGTTCATATTCATGTTATATGGACATTCATTATTATATTTAAAATAAGATGATGTCAACGGGCTCGTTACTGACGGCAGGCTTAATCCGCGGCTGATTGATGGTTTTGCGGGTATATGCTAGGCGTTCCATTCAGGGCTGATTTTGCACAAAATTGGTGGTGTACGGGTGCTCTTCCAGATTCATCGGACAATGTTTTCCTATCCTTATATGTATGTTCTTTCCTGAAAATTCACTTACTACGGCGTGCACTCGATAAGTGCATGGAAAATATCGCAAAGCAAAAATCAATGACATTATCCTTCAAGAGGTGCAGTCAGCAGTGTGTCTCCAAGTGGTTCCCTTGTCAGCCACTCAGCCTTATACAGTTATACTATCAGTGCGCTTACAGAGCTCCAGTGAGTAAGTGCACCGCTTATTGAGCCCGTCCAGTGTTACCTGCTAATATAGGCCATAGCTGATTAAGACTACAGTATCTGTGTATTTACCTATTGTCTGTTACAGTGTGTAGGCTTCCAGAATTTTTGACATCAAGTTCATGTTATTGATTGAAGATCAATGTTGTTATTACGAGTTACGCTGCGCCAAGCTATCGTTGGCGGCCATTGTTATGAGGCTGCTCTATAATAGTTCATAGCTATTTTTAGAATGACTTCGTCTAGGAGTAATTAGTTTGATAGGGACTTATTCGTTGAATAAACTAGATGTATTGTTTCAGTGTTATTTAGACTCTCACTTTCGTGGTTGTGCCATCTTTGTACGCCGTGTAGTGACATAGCACATATGCCGTCCCGTTTTCTCTGACTCAGAATGAGAGAGATGAAAGTTTCGAGGGAGACTACTTTGTTCTCTCGCCTCGTATACTTTGGCCTTGCTGCTGACATGGGATAGATTCACCGCGTCTGTCTTGTATTGAATTATATTAGATTGCCATGAGATATTTACCTCTTCAAATCCTAACCCCCTCATCTTCTGATCCCAGGTAGCCTATTAATTTCCCAAGCCCAACTGCCCTTCTACAGCTGTTGCATCATAATTTCATAGCAAAACCCAACCCCGCCCAACGTTAGCATCGTAATTTCTTACCAAGCCTAATCCCGCGTAGACATCGTAAACTTTTAGCAAGCCTAATCCCGCGTTGGCATCGCGATTCATATCCACGCACAACCGAACCACAACGTTGTCAAATACGAGCATAAGTGATTTAACTAATAATAGGTATATGTGAACGAACCCGTTCCAAAGTACCAATTGTAAAACTTAGTTCTTGATCAAGATTCACGTCTTTCCTTCTTGTGAATAAAAGTGAATAATGTAACGCAGTGCTATTGTCATTGCTAATTTACATCCTTTAGGAAATTCACCCTGTAATCTCGCGTCATTGAATGTTTTATTAAACGCCCAGACAACCTGCGCTCACCTACAGCCTTATAAATTAAATCGAAACAATGAGAGTCCAGTCCCTGCATAGTGTAAGTTTCATGTCTTTCTTGACCTATCAACTAATATTAAATGTCACGTATAGCTTACATCTCCAATGATAGTTGGAGTGGTGTAAAACTATGCTATGTGGTTGAGTGTAAAACTATGTGGTTGTGTGTAAAAATGTATAAAATCAAAACCCGTCGTTTCCGATCGCTACCAAACCACTTCCGAGTGGTTGCCAAATTTTTCCTTTAACTGTGAAGTGTGATTAAAGAAATCACATAATTGAGAGAAAAAATAAAAGTTGAATGATTCGATGCTGAAAAGTTACATTTATTGTTCTCATTATAGTAGACCTAAAAATAATTGAAATTTTGCTCACGAATAGTCTGATAAACACCAGTGAAAGGTATAAAAATTTCATTTATGTTGCTTGTGACCCAAATAGATGTCGATTACAATTTATCGTATATTGTCTTGATAGATAATTATAATCGAGCAAAGAGGCATTGCTTGAGGAATTCATATGAAGTTACTGAGAACTGTTGATAAACTATCCGCAGCTGTCAAAAAAGTTTATTGACATCTCTGAGATGGAATTAATTTTTGCAATTAAAAGCACAATGAATTTCTAAAAAAAAACTTGATAACTCATACTGTATGTTGATCGCATTACGTAGAAAGCAATTAACAATTGTGAATTATAACAACAAATTATTCAACTACATTCCGAACGCGAATTTTTATGCATTTAATAATTGATTGCTGTTCACTAGCAGAAAAAGTCCATTCCGCACTCGGGTGACGTCCAGTCCATTTGCTGGCGAACAGTTCTGCATTCTCTGGTATGATTATCGTATGTGATCGATGACGTCCAAATGGCATGCAGCATATAGGCCTGATAACGCCGTGAATTTTTGAACAGCAAATTAGTTAGTGAAATTTGACTTCTGATGATTTAAATTAATTTTCTTGAAGGTTTAAATTGTATTCTTAGTCTCCGCTACGTCGCCTGAAAAATATTTTTAGATGTTAATTGAAAATTTAGTTGGATTATTTTGCATCTGACAACATGTATTTGTTATCTGTTTGGATTTCATATTGGATCAATTCGTATTATTTAACCCTTAAACGCTCTACAACGAATATTCAATTGTTGCACCGTAAAAAAACGGTGCGCCCGGCGTTCTAGTGGCCGGCCGCCCAGTGAAGATAAACTGTTCCTTTTTTAATTTAGAACAGATTCTTTGTGAAGAACTGGAAAAAACGGTGACACGATGTTTTTTTTTCACGTTTAACGGGAATTTTTCAAGCAGTGCACATAACGAACAGGCAACAACAACCGAGAGTTCAATTATATACGTTTTAACTTATTAGGTAATTTATGCAATTATAAAGAGCACAAAAATTATTCGCGAAAAGATAAGAATTTTTTACAATAAATAGAAATAGCAGCCTAATCCTCATAGGTTGGGTATAAATTGAAGAGAACAACTTGGGTTCTAAATCTCTGGAACTTTGCTACAACCGCCTTCTGAATCATGAACGTATATTGCGTTGAAGGTTTTTTGACAATTTATCTTCAGCTCTGTGTTCACTCGGGCTGAAATAGATTTGTGCAACGAAAACACTGAACGAATAAAATGCCTCTGCAAGGGGAAGGTTCCAATACACATTTGCTGCATGTTATAGTCATGTTCTCATTTAAAACTGCTGCTCTGACGTCACAAAAGAGACCATGCACTTTAGCAGGCTCGCTTTAGCGCCAATAAGTGGCAGCTGCAACGGAGTAGTTTGATTCAAAATAATAACTGCATCGCTTGAGCGATATACATAGAAGTAAAATTACGACTGGCTAGGAAATTAACTTAACCAATCTAGCTGTTCAGCAATATTGGCTTGAGTGTGAGGCAGTATGGTGTATTATTTTTTTTAATTTAAGAAAAACTGGCCTATTCCATTAACCATCGTTGCATGAGTACATAGTGTAGTTACATAGTGTATATGTTACATAGTGTAGTTACATAATATGGTTACTTAGGTGCACAATAACGTCCCAGTAAAAAATAATATATCATTGCAAGCGTACTGCCTGCTTCATTAATTCTGAAATATTCCGGTAATAATTGTATGAAGACATGAAATCAAATAAATATCCATCACGGGTCTTCCTGTTGCATCTAATATTGCTTGGATGCACGGCAGGAAGTCAAGTTACTACCCTCTTTTCTAAGGTGAGATGATTGAGACAATTGTGTTACAATGTTCATCGAATAAATACTGTGTATGTATACGCGGTGTGAACATTTCTGGTTAGAATGAATGCCATTTTTATTATAAAATCTAATATAGTAATATAATAAAATATTTGGCATTCTCTCTAAATAAACGTGCAAAATACAGTAAATATCTGGAAGGTTATCTGTACACTGCTCCGAACAAGAAAAAAATTCTCATTTTAGTGACATTTTCATGTACAAACTAATAATTTTTTTTTTTCAGTACGATAAGTTGTGAAATCAACTCCCTCGAAGAATTTAGCAGTCGTATCATGTCGGGCCATATAAACACAGTAAATAGGCGCGAACAAATTTACATCGTAAAATATTCTATCATATTATATTATTGACTGGTAATAAACGTTTTTACCGCTTTAGGTACGTGGCAATGTCGTAGAGTACCAGTGCCGCCTGGCGACCAGGGTGCCTGCCTCGACCACGTTCTTGGGTCTACATAGCGCCTGCAGCCTTATGTGCCAGCAGACTGAAGACTGTCGCTTTTTCTGCACACTTGAAAGTGAGAAACTCATTACATATTTTTACTGATTTTATTTACCGTCGTGATAGTAAAATTGCAATCATCCAGACGCAGAGCTAATAATTTTCGAACAGGCTTAAATGTTCACATATATACCTGAAATATTTATTTCATGCGTTATCATGATTGTTGTCAGTTATTATATCTCCTAATTATATTAAGGACATTTTAAATTACTTCAAAAGCCTTGTTTTCAGAAATGCAAAATAAAATTCCACTTCCTAATATCACAATTATTCGATGCTAGGCTCCATGAGCAATTTGTTCCATATTGTTTTTATAGCTAATAAATCGATATTGAAAAATATAATCGAATTCCAATAAATTTAAAATTGTAACATGCTCTATCTACAACGGTTACAGGCACAGGTGCCTGCGCTCTGTTCAAGGCTTTCGTGGCGGTGCGATGGCAGGGACATCCTACGTCTGGGACCAGCACGACTTACGACGCTTGTTACACCTCGTGGGGAAACCCTCGTGACATCGTGAAGACANTTATATTCGTGTGAAGATGTGTATAAGAGACAGGTTCAATTATATACGTTTTAACTTATTAGGTAATTTATGCAATTATAAAGAGCACAAAAATTATTCGCGAAAAGATAAGAATTTTTTACAATAAATAGAAATAGCAGCGTAATCCTCATAGGTTGGGTATAAATTGAAGAGAACAACTTGGGTTCTAAATCTCTGGAACTTTGCTACAACCGCCTTCTGAATCATGAACGTATATTGCGTTGAAGGTTTTTTGACAATTTATCTTCAGCTCTGTGTTCACTCGGGCTGAAATAGATTTGTGCAACGAAAACACTGAACGAATAAAATGCCTCTGCAAGGAGAAGGTTCCAATACACGTTTGCTGCATGTTATAGTCATGTTCTCGTTTAAAACTGCTGCTCTGACGTCACAAAAGAGACCATGCACTTTAGCAGGCTCGCTTTAGCGCCAATAAGTGGCAGCTGCAACGGAGTAGTTTGATTCAAAATAATAACTGCATCGCTTGAGCGATATACATAGAAGTAAAATTACGACTGGCTAAGGCTGATCAGCAGCATTGGCTTGTGTGTTAGGCAGTATATAGTATTAATTTTCTAAATTTAAGAAAAGCTGATCTATTCCATCAGCAGCGTTGGTTATACCAGTGTAGTTACATAGTGTATATAGTTACATATAGTGTAGTTACATAGTATGGATACTTAGGTGCAAAATAACGTTCCAGTAAAAAAACTATATCATTGCAAGCGTACTGCCTGCTTCATTGATTCTGAAATATTCCGGTAATAATTGTATGAAGACATGAAATTAAATATATATTCATCACGGATCTTCCTGTTGCATCTAATATTGCTTGGATGCACGGCAGGAAGTCAAGCTACAACCCTCTTCTCTAAGGTGAGAGATGATTGAGACAATTGTGTTACAATGTTCATATAATAAAAAATTTTTTTAATTTCTTTTTTCTCTTGCTATTATTTATGAACATTCAATAATTTTAGTGAATATGCTTGCGATAATTAAGAAATAACTCTGTACATAAGGTACTTCGGTGTGGTCATAATTGCAGGCGTGTATACCTATAAAACTTTCCGGTTAAATTGAATGTCATTTTTATTATAAAATATAATATAGTAATATAATAAAATAACTGGCATTCTTTCTAACCAAACGTGCATAATACTGTGAATATCTGAAAAGTCATCAGTACACAGCTCTGAACGAGAAAAATGCTAATGTTCAGTGACATTTTCAGCTGTCAATTAATTTTTTTATCAGGGTGGGAAGATATGTACGATAAGTTGACAAATGAACTCCCTCGAACAATTTAGCAGTCGTATGAAGGCGGGCCATATCTAGACACAGTAAATAGGTGCGAACAAATTTACCTCGTAAAATATCTCTATCCTATCATATTATTGACTGGTACTAAACATTTTTACCGCTGCACAGGTACGCGGGAATGTCGTAGAGTACCAGTGCCGCCTGGCGACCAGGGTGCCCGCCTCGACCACGTTCTTGGGTCTGCACGGCGCCTGCAGCCTCATGTGCCAGAAGACTGAAGATTGTCGCTTCTTCTGCACCCTTGCAAGTGAGCAACTCATTACGATGTTTTTACTGATATTATTTACCGACGTGATAGTAAAATTGCAATCATCCCGCTGCAGAGCTAATAATTATAGAGCAGACATAAATGTTCACAAATATAATTGCAGTTTTTTCATGCGTTATCATAATTGTTATCAGTTTAGGAATTATATTAATGACATTTTAGGTTACTTCAAAAGCCTTGTATTTAGAAATAATAATAAAATTCCACTCCCTAATATCACAATTATTCGATGCTAGGCTCCATGAGCAATTTGTTCCTTATTATTTTTCTGCTAATAAATCGATATTGAAAACTAAATTTCGAATACATTTAGAATTTTAACATGTTCTATCTACAACGGTTACAGGCACGGGTGCCTGCGCTCTGTTCAAGGCTTTCGTGGCGGTGAGGTGGCAGGGACATCCTACGTCTGGGACCAGCACGACTTACGACGCTTGTTACACATCATGGGGAGACCCTCGTGACATCGTGAAGACAAACTCGCCCTTCACTTTCTCGTCTAATTCATTAGCTTTTCCCCAGAGGTATGCTACAGATGGATATGCTTGCTTAGTTCCGTATAGTATCTTCGCAACGAATCTAGAAACAAACAGCTATTCACAGATTGACCTGGAACAGATATCTCGGGTGCAGGCAGTTATCGTGGCCACATCTGAAATAACATACATCAAAGACATGGACGTGTTACTCAGCAACACAAGTGACTTCACACTTGGACAGAAAATCGGCCGAGTTAATGGCTATACGCCGTATTGGTCGACGTATACCATCAACACCAACACCAGCGTGGCAGGACGATACATTACGTTCTATACGGCGCAATATTCCATCCATGGCTACGCCGACATCCAAGTTATTCCACTGCTTTGAGCGCATCTTGTTAGGTCCATAATTAGGAGTATCAGATGAACCCGAAAAGTTGAGTCGCACCAGCGAAGGTATCATTTAAACCATCAACTTTGGGTTCCGCAGGTTTTTTTTTTTTTGTATTTTAATGAGGCCTTGATAGCATTATTTAGGAAAAAACAAGAAATTGTGGCCACGAAAATTGTACTCTGGTATTTCTGATTCATAAATAATAACGTAGTTCGGAAAAATGATTTTTGATTGTAAAAAGTCATGCAGAAATAGCGACTGAAGTGGGAATTGGTTTCGACTATAAGTAAGTAGATGGAACGCTGGCAATATTCAATTATATTTATTGAGGAATATTTCGCCAGGAGTTGAACCACCGAATGTGAAAATTTTTTCACTCTTCTTGATGATAATTCTTTGCCTTATTCAATCCTCAAGTTACTGCGAAGAGTCAATCGAATCGTAATTATTTACTGTTAAGTGCCATGATCACAAAATGAAATTATTATTGGCGAAAAATGTCTCATTGATGGCTTCATTCGGCTTCTATGGCTATCGATTTTATACTTACAATTTCGATTTGGATGCGATTTCGGAAAAATGATGACATTTTTAGGTACTTATACGGCCCTACTTATTTTACATATTGTACTCTTCATGATTAAACCAGACAAATTTCTCAGGGAAATACCTTCAACTGAAGTCATGTTCTCAGTAATTGTGTGAAGCTTCTAATTAAATGCAAGGTAGGTTTTCGATGACCAAGGATGACTTGATGTAGCTATTCTTGCATTTCATAAGTTATGCTTACCTAGCGTTGAGCTTTAACGGTGAAGTCCTAGCTGTATAGGCTGCCATGAACCTGGCCGACCTGGTAAAAAGTCAATTATCCTGGAATTCAGTTTACAATTGATCGAGTGAAGTCCTATAATTTTTTTGCACTTCTCTGTGTTCAGAATTATTAATATTGTTTGTCTTATGAATGAGGTTAGACAATTCTATTTGACTCACATTTGATATTGCGTCTTGATTTCTTTTATATTGTGGTGATGGTTTACGAACGCATCGATTAAATATTGAGAAGCATTCTGTTGTTTTTATCCGTTGTTCATCTTTAGAAAAAGTTGTACAACTGTTATTTTTTGGCAATTTACTTAGCAATCACTGCAGATTTGAGTTAACTGATCTTTGTCATCGAAGCCTAGCAGGCTGCAAGTAAAATGGTTCTCTTCATTGAGAATATAAAATCTGAAATTTTTGCACCAAAATACGGCAAGCGGCAAGTACAAACACGATATACGAGTACACCTGACCCAGCTGGTAAATGGAAAAACACTGCTGTGTACTTCTAATTACATATTGCCAAGGTGAATATCGTACGTGAAAAATATTATGGGTGGAATTTGGAATATTTTCTGATAAACTTTTAAGGATGACTTAGTTGCTATGAGGTAGTACCACAGACCCTTTGGAAAACCTAAGAAAAATATGGTAATTCATTCTCCCTATTTACTTCGATCTATTGACGGAATAATAAAAACTGTGTACCGATCAATAATATTTAAGCTTGAATCAATACCCAATGAACGACTTGGCTTGCAGTTGGAATTTTTATTGATGTCTTTTAGCTTGAATAATTAAAGTTTCTGCTGGAAATGTCCAATCGACACTGGTGACGATCTAAGCCATGGCAACGCCAAACACACGGCGCAGCAACGCTCATGTCTTTGTCAGTACTCAACCTTCAGCAATTTTAATATTGCCAATTTTGCATAGGATCAGTTCAGTCGAAATGAGAACGGACATTGTTACACAGGTAAGTCGGAGTTGCAAAGTTAAATAAAGAAACTCGACCTCTGGTCATGCTCACAAATTTGGTCGAAAGTTTTGTTGCACCGTGACTACTGCATTAGTTGTATAAGAAGTACGTGTCACTGAATTAAGAACAAAACATATTTTTTGTCACTAGTTAGTTTAGAGTGAATTAAGTTTTCTAAAGTTAAATAAAGAAACTCGACTTCTGATCATGCGAACAAATTTGGTCGAAACTTATGTGTCACCGTGACCACTGCATCAGTTGTAAGTAGTACGTGTTAGCGAATTACGTACAAAAATTATTTTTGTCACTAGTTGGTTTAAAGCGTAATAAGTTTTCTGTTTCCCAGTATCAAAAATATCTATACAATTTTACAAACATATGAGTCGACTTTATGATAAATAATTAGTCGTCACCAAATTACTCCTAAAAAATAAAAGAGTACAAATATACGTCGGTAAGTTTATAGCGAGTAATAAAAACTACCTTGCGTATTAAATTATCCGTTCACGCTTCTCTTTCGATATATTCCTTAGTGTGAACGGTGTGTCGAGTTCAATTGATCTTTTCCATTCGCACTCGTTTGAACTGAACTAGATTACCTCGATGCAAACGCTGTACGAGAAAAGTGCCAAATAAAGTGTGAAGCGTAAATGATGCGTCGCAACCAAAATAATATTCTACATTCATTTACAGCCCAGGGGCCATACTTTCAAAACTCGCTAAGTGAACGTAAGTACCTATGCCCTATTTTCTTGTCTATGATTGGTGGATTTTGCTTGAAAGGCCGTCAATGATTGGCTGATGAACTTACGATCACTTAACTTTTTTTGAAAGTATGGGCGCTGGGGCCTTAGTAAGTCTAAGTACTTACGCACGCGTGGTGATTATTTTCTCGTCTGTGATTGGTGGTTGGTGAGTTTCACTTGAAAGGCTGTCAGTGTGTGATTGGTTGGTGGTGAGTTTCACTTGAAAGGCCGCCAGCGATTGGCTGATGGACTGTACGAACTCTTTACTTTTTTGAGAGTATATAAAGCGAGACACATAACCTTCAGACGACTTAATAGTGCGCCAAGAAGCGGCTGATGAAGCAGATACCTCGATCCTTATTGAGCAAAGAATTATCTTCTATAACTCACCTGAAAACGACCGAAAATTTTATGAAGAAACATAACAGCGGTCGTTTCTTATCAATATTGACTAGCCGAACTAATGATAGAAGGGAAACAGTTGCATATCATTTAAAGATCGGAAATTGATAATTTCAACAATTAACGTGCGAAAATTTGTTCAAAATGGAGAAACAGCTCTCGTTCCAGCAGAAAATTTATTAATATTTATTATAATATAATCATTGATATTAATTAATTTTAATATTTATTATTCATAAAAAATAGGTTGATGATTAATTTTATTAAATATTGACTTTAAATTTCTAAAGAATTCTGTGATATATTTTCATGGTACCCGTAATCATGCATACCGGTACGCGTATATATGTGTACTAGATGAAAAATTTTCTGGTAAGCATTTGAAGACGCTTAGACATGTACATTTTCAGCAATCGCATATGTTTACTTATTCTAAAAATTAATTAATGGGATTGGTCGGAATACTTGCGTTAATTTTATATCTCCAATTTTGCAAATAGCGCATTTTCTGTGTATTTCCAGCAAACTAACTAGATTATTTTCCTCATTATCTTTGCTGGGAGAATAATATTTGAAGATCTTGAAACATGTAAAATAATTTGTGTGGATGGTTTTCATTTGTATACTAAGCGTGCTTCAGAAAGCCGAATCTCAAATCATTTTGAAAAATTAACAACTTCTCGAACAAAAATTGGATATAGTGCGAATTTATTCTCAAAAGATTTTGCAATAGTGCCGAATAATGGTATATATGAATGGTTTGCGTACGGATTTATACAAAATTTTTCTGCATGCGCCTCTTAATGTGTAACAGATCAAGTAACATCATCGATGTGTAAGAGCCAAAGTAACGATTTTAGGAGACACTCTTCATGCAATATTGACATTTTAATACTAAAAGTTGAAATAATTATAAAATATTGCAATGAACCGAACTAAATATTCATCACAGAAATTCATATGGTTGTTAATCCTGCTAGACTGCGCCATTGGATCTCAAGTCTCCAACCTCTTTTCTAAGGTTAGAAATTATCGATGTTATAAATAAAATATAATTTTCAGTGATTTTTAGGACGCGAACCAGATTTGTTTCAATCATTAACAAAATGTACGACAAGCCATGAACAAAACTGCCAACATACCATAAACCGTTACCTTCAAAAATGTCATTTAACGCCACGAAAAAAATAACCGCTCAGATGTATTAAATGATTTTATTTGGTATATTATTTTGACTAATTCTCCTATCATACCAAACATCGATTGATAGAAAAGGGAAAATGACGTACAGAGTTGCTGCTTCCTTCTCTCTGTCAGCCCAAATTTCACGCTTTCTTGCAAGCCTATTTAACCCTCGTTATATGCATTAGAAATGAATGCAAAAAATTATGACTGTAAAGGAGGGAAAATAAACGAAGTTTAATGTAGAATATCATCTAAGCTCAAGAAAATATAAAAAGATTCACGATAATGTTGTGCTGATTTGTAAAAATCTAATTAGATGAATTTTGAAAATCAGGAAAATAACTACAAGCTGAAAATTCGATTAAACGGAACAACTTCCGCAACTTAGTGAAATGTAAACACCACTTTAACCACCAGCAGTTTAATTATTTTTCTAACCAATAACAAATCATTGACCGTTTACCAGATGCACGTCAATGTCATGGAGAATTACTGCCTTTTGACGACTCAAGTGCCAGCCTCGGTCAAGTTCTTGAGCCTTCGAGGCGCCTGCAGCCACACATGCCAGCAGACTTCGGACTGCCATTTCTTCTGCCTCAGCAAAAGTAAGGGAGACATTTGGTAATTCTAACTAATGCCATTAATTTATCCTATTATTTGCTGATGATATACACTTCATAAATTTTCCCAGCACATCAGCCGGAAGTAAAATTACATTCATGCTGATGCCAGGATGAAACATTTTAGGGAGCCTTTTTAGTCTCAATTAAAGCATACTTATTATCTCGTTTTACTAATAATCACAATTCAATTCGGAATGCATTATATGGTATCACGTAAAATGTTCAGACGAGCTTTGCAATATCAAAATTCAGTATAAAACCAAGCTATGTTTCCGTTCTTCTGTTAGCAGGAATAAGTATTAAATTGAGGTTAAGCGATGGAGATTTGCAGCAATTGTATCAAAATTGTTAACAGT